TACGAAAAAGTATTTCACGTTCTACAAATTAGAACCGGATTCATTACTACAATTCATTTCGTAACATCCCGTTATCGATAAAGTTACTTCACTGACAGATCCTCAAGGCCCAACAATGCGTCGTCCCCAATGCCCCCCAAGATGGTAATGTCAACGCATTTCCCGTGGCAGAAACCGTTCCCGCCGCCGTTGCGTCGGAAATTTTTGCGGGCAGCGCGGTGCCAATTAAAATTGCTATGCATTAACGGTCGGCCTGGCTAATCGAAACGGGCTCGCAGCCCTTTCTCCTCGTTAAGAAGTTGCATTCGCGCGCGGTGGACGGTTTCTCGTTTGTCGCGGTCGCGCTCGAAAATCGTCGATTTATCGCGAAGCCGCGGCAACCTAACGGCCGCTGGTTCCGTTGCGTTTTTCCACTGGCGCGAGCCCGTTCCGAGCAAAAATTCCCGCGTTTTCCCCGCGGCGCCGATACGCGCTTGCCCCGTTAATGGAAATATCTTCCGTGTGCGTTACACACTCCGCTCAGAAAACTAATTAACCATAACTTTCCGTAAATGGATTTAACGCCGCGATACCCTCGTTTTATTGCTCCGCCGCACCGGAGGCGGTAATTAATATATTCCACGGCGTACGAGACTGCGTCGCTTCGCCTGGCTTTTCAGCTTAAGAGACTTTGTCCCCGTGATTGCCGAACATTCGACTTATTCGAACATTGCTTCGACCGGACGCAACGCAAAGTTTTTTATCCTCATCTCTCTTGCAAACTAATTTTCATCCCCTATGTTTCGAATCGTATTATTATCGATTTTTATCACTGCTTTTTTAATTTTTCATGTGCTTCGGATTCGTTGAAATGGCACGCGTCCGTGTGTAGGTAATTTTGAAAAACATTAAAACATAAAATAATACAGCATCACTTTGAGTTAGGTATGAATTATATAGAATGAGGGGTACTTTTGATTTATGGTAGTATTTTAATGACATGGTACTCGAAAGTACCAATTCGGAGCAATTAAAGTACATAAGCGTTTCGTTCTGTGTTTAATGTTCTTTCTTCCTTCTAAATCGACAAGTTTACGCGAGGTTAAATGATAATGCTGCCAACATTAAAATCACTACATATCCAATAATCAAATTGATTTATAGGCATCGACCGTCCAAAGACAATGCACGCGACGCAACGCCATTGTCGATTCACCGTCGCACACGAAACGACGAATCGGCGGACGTTATCATCGAACGTTCAACAATCGCGGCTCCCTAACGAGCAGATGCGAGTAATAATTTGTACGACCACGCGTAAAACTTGCGCAACCTTCGCAAAGTTGATCGTATAATTACCCACATTCGCAATGATTAATCTTGGAAAAATTCCAGCACGTTCCCCGTACTTCCTGGCCGTTTTAGAAATATATCAATGTAAAAGGCAGCAGGTCGAGACGATTAATAACGGATTCATTCTCGCGATAACGCGCCGTTCGACGCGTCGTTTGATCGAACGGTGAAACGACCCGCGATAAAGTGCCATTAGCGTTTCCGAAGTTTTCCTACGTTGCCTAGCCGTTGAATTATAATATAAATCCAACGCGGAGAACTTGACTGAACGCGATATAATTTTCCTCGATCACGTTTCTTCTTTCCACGAGCGAAAAAGTAATCGGCAGAAGTTAATGGACGTCGATTACGCAAGGGTAGGGACTGCCATGAAATTTATCCGGGTCGCGATTATATTTTCTGTTTTCTCGGAGAAAATGAACGCGCGGAGGGCGCGCTAATTTGCGCAGGATATCGGAGCGCGCGCGAGGAAGCAAAAAGAATGAGTCGATCGCCCGCCCCTCTCTGCCCTTCCACCGATGCGATATCAAGCTGCAAGACCGGTGCAATAACAGTGATTAAGCTTTATCGTTGCCGTTTCAGCGGACTATTTATCTGTCGGACGCGAAATTACGCGCTGTAAAGACATAATAGGAACGTGAGCCAATATTGTCGTTCGTCCGCGACCGAACTCGTCACCCGGAACCGGCCCCACAAAAACTACCGGTTATTAATCGGGAATTTATCACTTTTACGTGTTTCATCGGACGTACGACTTCATTTGCCGCGTTTCCACGGGTCAAATTATTTCGCGCAAACGATTGTTGGAGTATTTGTTATTTGTTTAAGTAATTTTTATTTAGAAATTGAGCTTATTATCAAGAAAAGATGATATTGAAAGGAAAAGAGTTTTTCAGTAGAAATTATTCAGTGGATTTCAGCGCTTTCGCTGAATGGCGACGCCATTTTTCTATTTTTTTATTCATTATTAGCGAAGCTATCGTCACTTTTATTTCCTATTACTTCTATTAAAATTAAATCCTCAGGATTGTTATAATGTGAACGTTTCGTAGTTTTTATAGAAATGTTCTATTGTGGTAATCTTGTTTGTGTAATAATTGATGCGGGCAAATATAACGCATAGGTCTTTCTTACGCACACTGACTTCATTCGATCCATTCAATGGTCAAGCAACTACTCTAAAACGTTCTAAGTTCCCACTATTCAACGATAAGATCTAAATCTGATTAATAAAATTACATGTCATCTCGGTGCACCAATTAACCCACTACCGACGGACGCCGGGTCACTCGTTACTCGGGCACAGAAACTCCTCACTCGTAATTTATGAGTGGGTTTTCCTTCCTCTAAACTAATTATGCCAACCATTCATTTACCTATTACAGTGATTAACATCGCAGAACGAAAATTAGGGGAAACTGATAGATTTTAGAAGTCCGGCCAGACATTCTTATATTTGTATAATTGCCTCTGCGAAACTAATTAATTCAGCTATACGTTTCGAACAACGTCGAGAAAGAAGAGGCACATACATTATCACAACTTTTCTTATGTTTTTCCCAAAACAAGGCACCTTCGGAAAAGTAAAGATAATTGCATAGATAAAAGAAATCGTTAACCATTACACTCGCAATAACTTCTTTCACACACAATTAAACGCATCTCCCCCTCGTCACTTTTTATCCAATCCAGTACAATATTACTCTACCATAACCGCGAAAGCGACAAGGATCTATTACTCAACGGTAGATTATTCTCAACTGATTCCGACAAAAATAAACAGCCACGTGTGACTTTCGTCGGCAGAATTCCAAGCGGAACGATTCAAAAAGTGAAAACGCGACGGGATTGAAAAAGTCCCGGGGAATGCAGCGAGATCAATTTCACCTGGGAACCGGGATCGGAGAATTCCGGCGGCGACCGTCGCGAAACGATACAATGAATCATTTTCCCCTGAATGGAAAGCGTGTAGGAAAGTGTGCCCGGCACGGTAAAAAATCGGTCTGAGAAATTCGTGGCATTATCGGTTTCCTGCGTGGCGCGAAACTATTAAAATACAATGGGGTCGCGCGCGTCCACGGTCGAGCCGGTCGCGTTAGTCGGATTTTTCCCTAGCACAATAAGCGACGGACCGGGCCGCGCCGCGCCGCGACGGCAATAATTTTCATGGAACACGCATCCGCGGAACACCGGTGCCACGGGGGCCGTTGAAAGGCGACGCAACACATCTCCCGGATCGGTTCGCGCTGTTCCACGCCGTGGAGACGCTCGGCGAAACGGAGCCACCGATCTAATAGGGCCGCCGATTATTTACCGACGGTTTGCATAAGAATACGACAACTGAATGACCTATAGGAAATTGTTGTCCGCCGGCACAAAAGCCGCGAGAAATAGTTAATCGCGTATCCCCGCGGTACACGGGTTGATTTATGGGGCGTAGGGCAGCTTTATTCCTCCGAGGCGCTTAACAATTGTTTCCCGACAATGAGCGTATATCAAGATATGAGTGACACGACGAAACGTTTTCTACCATTCATCAAGCCGGCACTCGGACGGCCGACCGGAGTAATTACACGTTTCCCGGTGTCGTTTGAAAGGAGCATCCATCTGCCACGCGAAACCGGGAAACAATTCCACGCTCGGCCGAGATAAATCTTCGATACCGGCCGAGAAAAGCCACGGGGACGCAGCGCCGCGTGACAAATCGGTATCGGCCTGTTCGTCCGGCGGGCCTCGTTGAATATTCAAAAATGGAAATCGATCGAGCGCGGAGAGCGCACGTCGTTCCGATTCTTGACGCGACTTCTTCGGACCGTCCACCCGGATTTCGTGTTTATTTTTACGCGCGTCTTAATTAGCCGGCGACGTAACACGGGGGAAAGAAGTGGAGGACGCATTGCGATTAACACGGAATTTCGTTGTTCGAGGTTTGAATTATTAATATCGCAATTAAAATCGGTCACCCCGGGACGGGGACGCGGATCGGATCGAGCCAACGGCCGGTCGAGTTTTATTTATGCCCGGGATATCGTCACGAGCACTTCTGCTCCGAAGAGTTGTGGGATAATTAGCCGGGCCGTTGCCCGCGAAAAAAACAGACGAGCCGATACCGCGAATAAAATTGTCGGGATCGTGACGGACCCATTGCTGAACGACCACGGCCCCACTTGCATAACGACTAGAAACCGTTTCTCCCAGGGCGTGAAATAATTTCCTTCGCAGATGAAATTTCTACAGCGATGCACTTCGGCACGCTTTACAGCCGCTAATGAGCGGACCCGTTATTAAGCGATTGTTTACGTCTCCACCCTCATGAAAATCGAACAATAACCTTCAGTCCGCGGGCTGTATCGAATAAGTTGGATGAAAATCACGAGCGGAACCTTTTACGAGATCGCCGTAATTACTTCTGCGGTGATTCATTTCCGAAGTTGCCGACAGATCCCGGTGTTTCCTTTTCGTACACGATTATCTTACATATTATCTAACGAACACCGTGGGATTATTCGAACTTCCACAAGCATACAACTTTACGAGGATACTTATTTGCTAATAACTTAAGGTATCGATATCTCTACTCTTTTCGTTATCTAGGATCTATATGTATTACCGACGCTAATTAGGAGATACAACACTAGAATTCTTTGTATTTGATAGAAGAAACTCACCGGAAGATGGTCGATCCGAGTATCTGGTGCAGTAGACCCATGCCGGCCAGGGCAGCTGCTTCCCAGGCTCGGTCGCAGGTGGTGCGGGCGTGTTCGAAGCAGGATTCGTGGTCACACTGCCCGGCGAGGTGTTCGTCGTCGAGCTGGTCTCCGAGTTGCTCTTCTCCGAGGTCTCGGACGACGACTCGAGGAAGTCCTTGGTAAGGTCGATGGGTCTCGACGAGACCTTCTTCGGCCGTGATTTCTTCAGCGATATCGGATCGGTGATCCGCCTACCGAAGTCCGCCTTCAGGATATTGTCTATACTGAACTTCAAGCCGGCTTGATGCTGCAGGTTGTTGTTATTGTTGTGATTGTTGTGGTGATTCGTGTTGTTGATGCCGTTGTTCTGCACACCATTGCTGCCCGGCATCGTTCTACCGTTCTCGTCTCTGATACCTGGCGAGACGGGACTGCCGGGATCTCTTTGAAGAATCTTGTTGACCGAGAGTCGATGCTGGTGCACCGAGTTCGCCGGGATGTGCTGCACCTGGGAGGTCTGGTGAAGATGAACGTGGCTATTCGCGTGGTGCAAGTGTTGCCCTGGATGAGGCATCAGAGAGGCGGTCTCTCTGGGGTCTCTGCAAGCGGTTGGATGGAGGACAGGGGTTGTAGCTTGAAGACCGGCGACCGTCATGGCCGACGGTGGTGACAAGGAGAGTCTGGTCACCAGAGGCACGCTGATCGGCGTCCTGTGCAGTCTCTCAACGGTCGGATAGATAATCTCGTGGCCGAGGCTGTGCTGCACCCGCGTCGGATAGTCGGAGATCTCGGATTCCCTTGACGAGTATCGGGGCAGCAAGTGTTGCGGATGACTGGATTGATACCTGGGTACTATCACGTCCTGGATAGCTTCCGGACGACCGGGCGAAGAGGCCGTGGCGGAGGAAGACGCCGGTGACCTCACCGAGGAGGCCGTGGGGGACGAGGGCGGCTGACTGTAACCCGGTGGACTCGGAGCTGGTATGTGATTAGTGGTGCGCTGATAAAACGCGTCGTTGCAGCTCGCTGAGCTGGAAGGCGATGGTGTTGCCGATGTCCTCGTGTTCTCCTCGTCGCGAAAGTCGCCGCCCCGGCTGCTCGCCGATTCCTGGTCATACCTGACTGAACCGCAGCCACGGATTCCAACGACGCTCGTGGGCGTCGGCTCGCTACCGACGCTCAACACCTCGCTGGTATCGCTTTCGCAATCGCTGTCAGGGTTGTTGCCGTCACTTCCCCGTATCTGCTCCCGTTTCACCGAGTCTCCGGACTCCAATCGGGTTGCCAGGTGATTATGCCTGATTTCGTGGAGATCCGACGACTCCAACCCCGTCGACGACTCCGGGGGTGTGTTCGACATCTTTTCCGCTTCCTTTTTTTTCTTGCGGTTTCCTCGTTGTCGAAAACTTTACGCTATCGAGTCAACCGGACTGAAATGTTTAGGCCACATTTGTTCCGAACGTCCTCGAGACAGCGTCTATTGTCTAGCGCCTGAAGTTCTCTTTTCTTATTTGAAATTGAAAATCGGTGTGCCGATTCTAGTCGGTTCGGGTTTACCTACCTCACGGATTCCGTCCGTTTCGAGCTACCCGGACGATCATCCTCCGACAGGACTCCCGTTCGATCGTCTGCCGACGACGCCCGTTAGCGCTGTACCCCCAACATGTTGATCGTTCGGTTATCGCAGGGTAGATTACTCGACGCACTCGTTTAGCCAAGAAACCTCGGTAAACGTCCCCAGACTGTACCGGTGATCCTCAAACACTAAGTACTCCAATCCTTTGCCGACGGACACTGTTCAGCCCTGTTCATGACCGACCACCGTGACGATTGCCGAGGTCGCTCCTCATCCTCCCCCGCGAACAGAGTGTTCCCTCGCTCGACACACCGAATGTGGATCAGTCTCGCCGCGTCGCCGGCTCATTCATCTGACTGACAGTCCGATCGGCAGCCAATAACGCCGTTCCCACGATGGTTCCCGGTGATTGCGAGCCCGTCGGACCGCTCCGAACTCTCGATACGTCCATAATCCATCGCACTTCTCACTGTCGGGTCGTGTATCCCGCCCGTGGAATCCTCGCGGCGGAGGAACCGCGGTAGATTCGACCCAGGCTCTCGGTAGAGATCCCGAGGGGCGACGTAGACGCGCACTGAACGAACGGCCAGCAGGCGGCCCAGGCGAACCGAGGCAAAGGGGACCGACCGGCCGAGACGGGTCAGTCTTGGCGGCGAGACCAACGGGCGGAACGCTCGGGGACACGGACGGGTCCAGGTGACGATCGGCGGAAACGTGGAGGTCCTGCACGGCGCTGGTAGACGCGAGTTTCAACGGAACCGTTGTGCGACGCTGTGGGATCCAGGCCGGGCTGGTTGTCCAGTTGGTTGCCGCGGAGCGTCTGCGGCGAGGAAGCGGCGGGAGGGCCGACGATGGGCGTTCCTGGGCGTCGTTTCTACACCCGGCACGCCCACCAGCTGACCTCTCCAGGGGTGAGGACCCTGTCTAGGGGCGCGACCACTCGACATCTGTCGGCTGTTGCGAGAACCCAGAAACCCGTCACGCCCAGTCTTCCACCACTCCGCGGAACCAGCTGCTGATAGGTAACCCAGAACCCTACCTCCCCTCTACCGACTGTAACGTTCATCCTCCTCCCACTTGGACTACCTACGATCGCGTCTTCCTCCAACTTACTCTCGCGTCACTGTTCATCCCCACTCTTACTATGCAGCTCCCCACTTTACTCGTGTTTATATCTCTGCCCTCTCGCTTCGACGATCAGCTTCTCCGTTCCACCCGGTTCGCCGAACGTTCTCCGTTGTACTTCTGGGATCCTCTAACTGCTAGCCGGTGATCCAGTACGCTGCCCCTGCCTGGTTCGCTTGTCCTTTTTAGTCGGACGGTGT